CTCTCTCTCTCTCTCTCTCTCTCTCTCTCTCTCTCTCTCTCTCTCTCTCTCTCTCTCGTTTGGCAATAAGGTATATACTGAAAGGGAGTTAAAAGCCATTCTGACCTGTGATTCTACACTTGCACAGACAGCATATATACCCCAGTTTCTTGTATAGTTGTTGTATAGATGCACTTTCCCAAATCTCACACGAGGATGTCTTTGCCTTGTCCCATCAAAGAAACAGTGATGAATAGTCACATGAATACATCGGTCGTCAATGTGAGTTGGATCTGCTCCAATAAGCATTGTTTTATCGTGCCCAAAAAAATGGCATCTGGGGACAAAAGTAAATGCATGTAAACGTGCATGTTTGTTACGATATATAGCTTTGTCAACCATAGGAGAAGGCCTCTACGGTTAATTGGAAGATATAATGCAGAATATATAATTATATGAGGCAATCATACAATTGTATAATGGATCTTCACTATGTTCATACCTTCTAGTAACATAGAAACATAACCCACATAACTGTGACTGCGTGTATTATTAACTGTGGGTGTGTTTCTCCTTTCTTCTTTTTTTTTTTGGAGAATACTATGGTGCGTTTGTCTACTTAGTTTGCTCAGCGGATAGAGTATGAGCATGGAGATGCCTTGTCCAAAGTGCCACAAGCAAAAATGGTTACTCTACCTCTAGCAAAAATTCAAAACCAGATGAAATAAAAAGTATAATAAATATCCATGGTTATCACTTTTCTCTGCCCGATTATTTTAAAGGGAAATTATTAGAAATATACCCTAATTTTTGCCTAATTAGAAAAAAAAACCCAAACTTTCATAAAGCTTGTCCATACCCTTTTTTCTCAATTTTGGCTCCTTTTTTTTAGTCAAAAATAGCCTTCACGGTAGTCGAATTACCGTGAAGCCTATGCATCACAGTACTTTAAAGTGCCATGATGACTAAAGCTTATATTTTAACAGGTTATTGGAAGGTAATGTCTTGAGGACATTATGGTACTTTAAGTACCGTTATTCACAAGACATCTTATATAGCCCATAAAATGCCGTGAGGAGCCAAGAACAGCAGCGTAAAAAGAAGCAAGGGCGGTGGGATTGAAGGAGGTGCCTCCCATGGCATCCCCCACTAATGTGAAAACAAAAAGAAGGATGAAGAATAGCAAAGTCGTGACGAGCACAGACGTGAGGAAATCCCCCAGCTGAAGATGAGGGAGGTAGGAAGAGGTGATGATGGAAGTCATCGGCCCAATCACTGAAGCAGAGAAAACCCATAGGAAGGTGACGAGGGCATCTCCTATTGCAGATTTCACAACCCCCATCCTCAACACTGTAAACTCTCTCTCTCTCTCTCTCTCAACCCTCCGCTGATTGATTAATCAATAAAAGAGTGAGTCATCACGATGATCCTCACAAGGATGAGGGCAATAAGCAAATGGAGAAAGAAAAGGCGTTCTCTCTCTAGATGTAGATAAAGATAAGGAAGAGATGTTGATATAATGATACAAATCGAGAGAAAAAGGATGGGTTATCTCTGCGATGGATTCGCTTGCAATGTTTATCTGGTCACCTTCCCTATTCTTCCGCTTTCGAACAAGCACAAAGAAAAAAAATATAATTACGCCACTTAAAGTACGGTAGTAGATGATCAATCAATCATGGTACTTAAAGTACGGTGATGCCTCAAGACTACTTATTAGTGTCACCGTTTGAAAGAGATGTTGTTATCATGGTACTTTATGTACCGTGATGGACCTTCACGGTAATACGACTACCATGAAGGTTATTTTAGTCCAAAAAAGCCCAAAATTGAGGAAAAAGAGTATAGACGAGCTTTATGAAAGTTTGGGGTTTTTTTCTAATTAGGTGAAAATTAGGGTATATTTCTGATAATTTCCCTATTTTAAATTTTAACATTCTAAGGGATCCCCAGGAAATAAGCACAATACATAATAAAATGCAATAAAAGAAAAGAGAAAAAGACAAACTCTAATGACCACATCAACTTTGCACAAAAATTTTGGGTATTTTTGAGCTGCCAACCATATTCATGCAGGTGGTAGCAATTTCAAGGTTTCATCAATTACTAAAAAATCTTTTGTATGTTGCTATTTGTTGCTTTGGTATGTGAAAACCATAGCTACTTTCACTACTTCGATAGAAATGCATACCTTGAGACCGTGATATCGGTACTAGCCCGTGTTATATCAATAAGTCCATCATCATAATCGCGCAAACTGCAACGGTCAATCCATATGTGCCTTGAATTGGGTTTTATCTGAATGGCATCAACATCAGGACCCCTGCCACCTTCAAACTCCAGGTTGCATACAATCACATGCTCACATGCTCTAAGTTGCAAGCCCTTGCCAGCAAGCTTTACCCTTTGGCCACGACCATCAATTGTTTTATAGGATGAGACCTTTATGCCCGCGTTAAGTTTAATGGTTCCCGAAACTTCAAAGACAATCCACAATGGTTCCTTTCTTCTGCAGGCATCACGAAGTGATCCAGGTCCATCATCTGAAGCAGAATAGGAAAGGAGTAAAACTCTGCTTTAACTTTGATTTAAAACTCTGCTTTAACTTTGATTTACTAAAAATATCGAAAAATGAGAAAATCAAGTAAGCCTGACATGGCAATTAACTTGATAAACAGAAAGACCACTGCTCAGGAGAATAAAGTAAAAACCAAGTTTGAAAAACGTATCCTTCTCTTTATTTTATTTTTTTTGAAACTGTTAAATGTGATCCTTATCTTTAAGTTGAAAGACATTTTCTTCAAGGTTAGTACTCTGACTAATTCTAGGGTCAAGACAAAATATATGGATGCAAGTTTGGTAATAATAAGAGTAGAAATGAGGAAGTTGTTAAGATTGATGGTCAAGAAATACCTAAAAGAGATTGTTACCAATGCAGTGCTTGACAAGTCAAATGGATAGAACTAACCCTGCTGGATCCCAGTAAAGGATCACTGTCGGTTCATCTGATTTTGATAGATTGGAAAAGGGGCAAAAATGCTGTTAAGAGGTCAGAAAAACTGGCTAAAGGAAATGAAGTGAGGATGATTTAACTTCTCAGGCTTAATGATGAATAAAATTTCTTTCAAACTTCGTATGGAAAATGAATCTTGTTTGTGGCCCTAATAGACTGCACCTATGGAATACTACATGGGATTCTATAAAGCGTATCAGGGACCCAAAGGGTTAAAGAGGACATCTTAGCAGCATTGAATCAAAGGCAGTACTATTTATTTTAAAAAAAAAGGGCTCTAGGAGTTCTAAAACAAATATAACAATAGTTGGAAGAAACAAGAGAGCCATGAATTTCTTATACATAAATTCCATGAATTTCTTATACATAAATTCCATCAACAACAGCATAAGAAAAATTAAACAGATCTGCAAACGTAAGGGCAAGACATCCACAAAACTTGATTCAATACTCAAATGAAGAGAACAAACCAACTCAACACAGCAGACCCAAATGTATCAATATAGGGTGCACTATAGAGCTTGGCACACTCTGACCAGATAAAGGCTATCCCAAGATAGCATAGCTTAGCGAGGCTAGTCTTCCAAACCTTCATGTGCCAGAAAATTGATCACAAAGCAACAAGGGAGCTCTAACTTGGTTTTAGTTCAGGTTAGCAATTTGTCCGGCCGCATCGACATAATATGAACATAGCAAACATTTGCTTTTCCATAATCAAACATACCCCAAGGATTACGGGAAATATCCCACACCATCATGCAAGGTGCTTTATCGATACCTCTTAGTTCTTATACATCTAATTTGTTTATACATGCTTTACAGATCTTTCCAATTGCGTAGGCAAAGATGAAAGATATAGTGTAAGTGGGTACTAGAAAACTCATTACTAGGGTTTTGCACGAGTGCCTACACTTGCATAGTTGCATCCAATATTCTACTCAAGAACCTGATCTAATATCAACTAATGTACAATCTGATAAAATGTTTTTATGTCATCATTTCGGACAAGCAGTGTATGTAAAAGGTGGAGTTCTAGCCAAAATCCGAAGTCAATTATGAGATTACAATGGAAGCTGTCTTGGGAAACTGTCATATAAAGCGTAAAATATATATAAGAAGTTCTAAAAGCTCAGAAGAGCTGTCCATAATCGGTGTTCCAAAATACTTTGTTCATCTCAGAGAGAGAGAGTAGCCCAATTGAACAAGAACCATCTATGGAAACTCTTGTTCATCTCAGAGAGAGAGAGAGAGAGTAGCCCAATTGAACAAGAACCATCTATGGAAACTCTAGAGGGAGGGAGAAAGACAATGCAGCTGAATTAACCTATCTAGGGAAAAAATAGAGAGAGAGAGAGAAAATGCAGCTGAATCAAACACCAGAAATCAACAGAAACAGAAAGAGAACACGCATTAATAAAAGCAAATTGGAAGCCCGACCTAGCAATGAAGTGACGCAGTAAAGAGATCCATGGAGACCACCAATGGCCATGCGCCCAAAACCCTCGGCCTGAGCCGCCAAAGCCCTAAGGCTCCCATCCACATGAGCATAAGGCAACGCCATTGAACCACCACAAGAAGGACCTTGCTGGACCGTGAAATGCCCGTCGATGAAAGAACTGGGGATAGGGGTAGGGTTTGTGAAATGGCCTATGTTCTCCTTCTTATTGTGGTTTTTTCCTGAATCCATGGGAGAAGGTTGAGAGTGGCGGGAACGGAAGCAACAGAATCTACTCATTGAACCCTAATCCTATTTATAGCGGCTGCTCAGCTTCGCAAAAAATTCGGAATTTGTTTGCTTTCTTTCTAAAATTTGTCGGTTGTTTGTGTTTGTCAGATTGGAGAACCGGTAAATGGCGGAGAGACAGACGGGGTTTCTCAAAGTTTGTTTGAGTAAATTCGTTTTCTGAACGAGAGAAAGGGGAAACTTGAGCAGAGGTCAGAATGTGTTCCCCCAAAATTGGGTTTGTTAAGCAGAGAGAGGATTAGAGTTGAGCGCGTTCCTCAAAATTATAGAGAGAGAACGCGTTTCTCGTAATTCATAGAGCGCGAGCGTTCCTCGTGATTAGAGACGAGACGGGATAGAGCGCTTCTCGTGAATCGGAAAGCTCAATCTTAAGATCGACTCAGATCCGATGCGACCCGCTTACACCGCCCCTCACCATGGTGTCCTTTGAAAGCTCAAAAAACACGTCCAGCGTTAAATTCAAAGAAAATTTATTAAATTATCATGTAATAGTCCCAAATAGGCAAATAAAAAAGAAGGCAAAAAACCTAAAACAAACTTAAAATGTGCTTCAGATCCAAAATCCAGCACAGCTAGATTTTTGAAAATGGGTTGCTTTTGGATACGTGTGTATACTTTCCATAATTTAAAGGGTGTAAGCAAGGCTGTCTCGCCCGTACTCCCAAACCGGAAAATCAAGGGGGGCACAGTGGGAAATAAATTAAAAAGTGGGTGGAACTTTTTTAAATAAGATAAATGATCTTATATGATCCTCTCCCGTCCGAGTGCATAAGATCTCAAAGGATCGCCATTTAATTTGGTACGGATCTATAGAAAAGTCAAGTCTCCACTCCCATGTGATAACTTCACTAAAAATCCGTATCAAATTTAATGGTGATCCTTTAGGGTTCTACACATAGGTGAGGGAGGGTCCTATAGGATCATTACTCTTTAAATAAAATTATAATATGGAAAAATATATGGTGTCTATGCTCCCAACCATCCGATTAAGTTGGCCGGTGGTGATAGCAAGACTATCTTGCAATCACCACCGTCCAACATAGTCAGACGGTAGGAAACTTGTAGCAAGCCTGCATGAAAAACAAGGTTTAGATTAAAAACGGTTCATCCTGTGCTAGGCTGGGCCGAGCCTGACCAAGCCAAAGAGTACATGTGTTTGGGCCAAGCATGCATGGCAAGACTTGGCCAATAAAAACATGGTCTCCATTTTGAATAAATATGTTTATCCAAATTGTTGTTTGTTGTACACTATGAACGGGCTGTCTAGGCTCCACAGGGCCGAACTTGGGCCTAGCTAAATGGCTCGATGGGCAGGGCCATGCCAATAAACCTGAATTTTTTTCGGGCTGCTTTTGAGCACCAAGCTAGGTTCGACTCAGCAGCACATCCCAGTCTCGTAGAAACATATTAGTGTACAACATATGTAGGACTAAAAACAAAGTCTGGCTTGATCGAGCCAGGCCTGTGTCGGGCTCAAAACAAGCATGGGTCTACCTGGCCCAAGCATGGGTTCAGACTTCATACAGGGACTGTAAAACACAAGAGGGGCTAGGCCAAAACTGTTGGGTTTATGTGGCCTTTAAAAGGCCTTATGAGTGCTTGTAAAATGAAATGATAGAGTAAAAAATGAACTCAGTGGGAGTGTGGTCCCTCGTGGGCCATACTAAGCAAACGATGGTTTGCTGATATCGATCTATCTTAACGATCTTGGTCAGTCGGATGAAAAAAACTCATGTTACTTGGGCATGAAAAACAAACCGATTATGGTTTATGGGTTAGCCCTTGAGTGAGCCGAAGGGCTGTGCGACCTTGTGTGTGATGGTGGCCTATTGAGACGGGGGTCAAAACCTTATCCATATTTCATCATATGGCATGCATAGTGATAGATAGTTTGGAAAAGCCAGATATCCACCTTTGAGTGAAACATATGCATGTGCCAGAGATACCCCTATGCGTCATAGAGTTATGGTCGCATCAGGTCTAGGTGACCTTGACTCGTCTCTAGGGGAGGACCTGTAATCCACATACTGGGATTGCGACCCCTTGATTTATCGACCTGACTTCGGTGATTCGCTAATGAGCTTCTGCCTGGACTGTGGGTCATGAGAAACAGTGGGTTAGTTTGATAAAGCAAGTGTGGTCTGTAATCCACAGTTAAAAGTGAAGTGCCCCATGATTGTTGATTCCTAAACCATATGGATCCTTTCCGTCATATTAATTTAACTGTGTTCGTTTTATTATTGAAATGATTTTAGTTTTATTATTTGAATTTTTATGAATTTCTCAATATTTTATTTGTGATTTTTTTACTATAAAAATATAGTTATTGTTCCTTACAAAGTTATAAAAATTCAAATATATATTTTAAATTATTTTATTCAAGTTTTAAAAATAATTTTTTTTTTATAATATTCCATGGGGGCCTATAGTGCACATGGGCCCACCATGTGGAATATGGGTGGGAGCCCACATGTGCCACAAAATGGTGGCACGCCCCACCCTCTTTGGATTCTCTTGTTTGCTTTTAAGATAAGGTTAGTTTGATTTGTGTCATGTGGTGGAAGGGACATATTGGCTATGGCTTTATCTATTTTGTACCAAGTTTGTTTTAAAGAGATATGGTCAATTTGTATTGATATGGATCTTATCTTATTTATATTTGGTAGTATTTATCTACTTGATATTATTTGACATATCCTTATGATATGTGACATGGATCGTGCAATTTTATAAAATGCATAATATTTATTTTATTTAAATATATCAATAGAAAAAATAGTTTAAAAAAAGGAGGATAATAGTTCATGCACCTTCCATAATGTTGATGGCCTATTTATGAAATGGATGGCTCAGATCGCTCACCCCACAAGTCACCCTTGATCGACGGTCTATGTTCAATCTCACAAGAAGATGCAAGCTAAGGAGATCTGTCACCCCACAAGTCACCCGTGATTGACGGTCTATAGTAAATCTCATAAGAAGAGGCAAGCTAAGGAAAACCCTAACAAACCCTAACCTTATTCAAAGCCTATAAAAAGAGATCGTCTTTACCAAAAAATCTCTACACCTTATCTCTTGTACCTAATTCTCATATTTCTCTCTCATATCCCAAAAGGGGGCACGCACCACTCTCTCATGTTTGGCTATGGAGTTCTTCTCTCCTATCTCTCAAATATGAATTTGAGGCTAATGTTTGGTTATGGAGTTCTTCTTTCATATCTCTCAAATATGACTCTGAATATGGATTTACGGCTAAGGGTTTTAGGATTTAACAAAAAGAGAATCAGTCTTTCTCAAACTAGGTTGCTATAAGAGTTTTAGGGTTTAGCAAAAGAAAAATCCATCTTTCTCAAATTAGGTTGTTAAGACTCATGTCCATGCATCTTGAAGTCGAGATGATCAATTTGAGGATATTTGGGGCATCCAAACAACCTCTTCTAGTGATCAAAGGGGTTTATGTTCCTTTGGTGTGGCTTGGCCGAAATTTACTTTTCCGGTTCGAGGTTGAAGCTAGACCGTTGATCCCGTGCCATTGGATGGAGGTGACTTGATGTGGGGAGTAATAAGCCCGGTTAAGGTAATCTCTGATACTATTCCTTTTGTGTCTTGCAATCTTATCTTTTATTCTCAAACATAGTAAATAGTTGTTTCAATGACATCAAGTTGTTAAGATCTTGGTTTTATTTTTATATTGATTTTATTTTAAAATTTATCTTAATACCACCTGTAAGTGATCTTTTGCCAAAAGAAAGAGATGAAAAAAACTAAAAATAAAAATAAAATGTATTATCCGATAAAAGATCACATAAGTCGTTTTTTCACGAACAGACCCTTGGACAAGCCATTGCATTCCTGCTTTGGTGGCTCAAGAACAATTTTGGCAACTTTGATCTAAAGCCTTATTTGTTGATTCTTCTGATCATGGGAGTGAACCAAAAGAACCAACCCACCTCTCACGCAGAGACACTCAAGATATTAAACAATAAAATCTCCCCACATTCCTTCCAAAATTTCGACTTAGTCCACAAATCTTGCATTTGACCGTCTATGAAACAGTTTTGAAAGCACTGTTCTTCTGACTTAAGAGAGAGCATTGATAGATCCATGCCTAGGGGCATAGTTCACTTGTACCCAGCGTTTTAAAAAAACGCCGAGTCGAACC